GGAGCGGCGAAGGAAAAGGATGAGGCACTGAGCTAAATGAAGTGTGTTTAGCGGCCGCTCGGTGATGTTCTAAGTCACACCAAAGCGGGGCTACACCATTTAAAGACGACATACGATATAATCAACTTTTTCCATATTTAAACACTAATTTGACGGCCTTCAGTTTCGTAAGTGTAATTACCTAGCATATGTACGTGCTCTTCATAACTTTGGGACTTTTTCTATGTAGTCTCTATGTAGTCTCTATGTAGTCTCTATGTAGTTTATTCCTATGTCATTGTTTTTATTAAATGTTCTTTTACTTTTTATTTACTTTATTATTAGTAGTACTTTGCCTTCCGGAGTGTTTTGACTGGAGTCGCGTCTGGGCGAGGATCGGACTTGGAGGTGGGGCGGGAATTTGAAAATTACCAGAGGTCCACAGGTATTATTAATCCTGTGTGAATGGGGCTTTTGTCATTGGGAATGATGGTCGAACAGGGAGTTACAAGACTCATTTCCCTTATAATGAGGTTATTATTATTATAATTTAAATGTCCAAAAAGAATGCATAATATTAATCTTTCAAAATGAATATCTAATCATGATTTTGTTTAGACCAAAAACATACCACAATAAAATGTTCCTTTTAAAAAAATATTGTTGGCTGAATAACTGCGATCTTTGCGATTTGCAAATCGTGCCAACACAATTGCTGTCTCAATTTGATAATCCAAGGCTCAGTGTCCATTTGCAGATTGCATTCATCTCTATTTATCAGTTTGAGAAACTTCTACAGCCTCTCCATCTGTGATCCATAGTTTTGGCGGGGTATGCGCTCTCCGAGTGCACTTTCTAGTTTTGGAATTGTGTTGACTGACAATGGCAAGTTTTCTGATTTTTACAACAACTAGCATGCTAACTACATGTGACATAAAAATATAAATCAAACAAGAATTTTGTTTTTGTTTCTCAAAGGCATAAACATAATTGGCAATCTCTTTAGTGTTGGATATGGTTTTGTCTACTGTATCTACTGCTATTGATTCAATGTATACTGTATATCGATTACCATCATTCAGCTCTCCTGAAGACATTTGGTTAGTAATTTCCAGATCCCCAGACATTTATATAATACATATTAATACAAGCTGTATTGATTTTCTATTACCCGATTATTACTTGTCATCCGCACTGTCTGCAAAGTGTTATAATTGGAGACATTTATTAAAGGTTATGGGTTGCCTGTGCACGGCTGGATGTTACATAGCTGCTTCATTATTACCACTGTAACAGCTGCACCTCCCACAAGAACAATGAACTGTGGGACAAATGAGATTATCCAAACTTGTCACGACTCTGCCATGTCATCGTGCTCTTGTTAGCTTTACAAGAAAGGCGCCACGTGGAAAATTGCCATCTGTGTCTGAAAATGAAAGGCAATGACCTATACAGTATATCAAAATGGTGGACAGTCTGGGTTATTAAAGCTGGAGGACCTGATTTTCAAACCACAAAAAATAAACCATGTAAGAAAATTATTATTATGTGTTTTTGTTCTCTGTCGCATCAACCTTTTCAGACAGATTGTGAATAACAGAAGACCACCCTCACTCAGGTAGAACAAATATTCAATATGTATGTAAAAAGAACTCCCAGAGCAGTCAATTTGACGGCTTTTAGTTTTGGAAGCGTTATTTCTCAGAGTATGTACATTTTTGGTCTTCAACAAGTCATTTTTACTGCTCGAAACATTTGAAAGTAAAATGCAGATGTAGTTTCTCTCCATGGCAGTTATAGTCAATTTCTCAAGGCTCTGTCCTGGACTGGTTCTAGACGGGTTGTGGTCCTGGACTGGTTCTGGTTCAGCTAGTTACTATAGAAACACACTGTTTACTTGGAGAAGTTAACATTTATCCTTTCAACAAACTGTTTTTAGGTATTAAAAAATAGTAAAGGTAAAGGACCTTAAACAATATAATAATAAAAACTTAAATTTCTCAGAATACTTTTGGTTTGAGTTTGAGCAGTCAAAATAACTGCTCAGAGTTCTAGTAGTTTCATAATTGTGGGAGTTCTATTTTCCCGATTATTATCATGATATAAAGTCAACAAAAATGTGAATTAAGATTAAATTACAGTGTTGCTAAACAAAACAACGCATTATATTCTGTAGGGCTGTCACCACTCATTTAAAATAACACATAAATAACTGTTTACTCCCACTCAACATGGATCCATAAAATCCTTTCCGTTCCACAAACTGCGATAAAAAAAGCAGCTCTGTCCTTGGGCTCAGCTGGGAGTCAGATGTTTTGATTTGCCACTCGTCTGAAAAGGTGTAACGAGTGTCTTTCCTCAGCCCTGAGGTGTGAAATGACCACTGTAGGCCACCGTACACCAACACACACAAGTCAATATGTGCAAGTGCAGATGTTGTTACAGCAAGAGTCCAAGTATTAGTTATGAATGTATGCACGCATGGTTCATACACTGCCACCTCTGTTCAAAACTTTGCTCAAAAATCTGCTCATATTGACGAAAGCCCCTACAACGGTTTCACTATCTTCAAGATCTGACTAGAAACATTCTAATATCAAGGATGAACATGAGATGCACGTGCGACTTTTACCTTTGGATCTCTGTAAATCTGGTGAATAGTCACGAATAGTCTGTTTAATGCAATGAGGTTTTTCCTGATAATTAAAGGAAGTTACTTTTTCATGTTTGTTTTTTACTTGAATGTATGTGTTTTTGGATTGTAAAATACAAATATATTACTTTCACCTACATGCACACTATATATATATATAAATATACACATATACATATTTTCCAATGCCATATTAGCCAGTACCAATATTCTTACCATCAACGCGGCAGGTTAATAATGATTGAAAATCATTCAGGGGCCCCTCAGGGCCATGTGTCTGACACCTGCGGTTCAGGTGGTCAGGTAATTGCTTTTTCATTTGCTCCAGATTAAATTTTATATCAGAGATTCGCCATTAATTCTTTGTATTTAAATATTTACTTTAAAGAGTTGCTTGATTGACGTAACATTTCTACACGTATTTGTCTGGGGTTCTGTTCCACATTGAAACGTTGTCACAATGTTGACCTGATTGGTACATAGGAGGACTCTCTCTTCACTCTCTTTTCTCTGTATCTCAAGTCTTTTCTAGTTGAATATGATTTATAAAGTGCAGTCCATAAGAGACACTGGCCTTTTGAAAGCCTCCAGTCTCCACTCTGCGCAGTAAATTAGCTAGAAGAGTTGTGCCCATGGCCAGCCCTTGAACATCCTTGCCAGCGGCACCCTAAATCTTAAAGTGGAGAAAGTTGGGATGAGACCACAGGGCACCGAGGAGAGTCTGAGGGACGGGCGAGCTCTGACAGCTTTATCTGTGGGTAAGACACAGGTCACCTCCGAACGGAGTGAAACTTCTATAAAATTATATCAAATTAGTTTAACTAAAGTTTGCACATGAAATTACTTAGAATAGAGGCAAACATTATTGAAATATAAACTAGTGCTGTCAGTTAAACGCGCTTTTAATAGCACTGCTTTTTTATCACACAATTAACGCAGGCACAAAAGCGCGGCTGCTCCTACCTCTGTAAAGTCTCTGAGGAAGTGTAAGTAAGCCTGGCTGTGGCTTGGTGCGTGTAATGAGTGTGGAAAGAACTTCGATAGCAGTGAATAGATTTACGTTCATTTATTTCATAAAAATAAAATTGGGGGAAAAAGGGGTAGGGAAGATAGTGTAAAACTTGAGTCTCCAGAACACGTAAACATGCACGCGCGTGTGGGCTGGGTCTTATGAGCAGAGCTTCTCCATCAGGTGCACCGCACGTCACCGATTGAGCCGCGCCAATCCTCTGCCTGCAGCGCGCAACGTTCAGGGCAACAATGCGCAGCCGCTTCAGCACACGTTGTGCATGTCCCAGGCTTCTACCACGGACACGTATCTATGTGCACTGATGCCCAATTCTTTCCACTTCAGAAAATAAAAGCAGCCATGCTCACTGGTGATTACTGGACGTCCATGAGGAATAACAACTATCCAGAGGTCACAGCCAAAACGTTGAAGCTGTAATTAATTCCCCTTTACTTAATTGACATTGACACTGTGAAAAACTAACTGACTTAAAATGAAATCATAAACAAAAGAGTAGCCTTTCTACTATGTTGAATAGTTCTATACACTGAGATTGAATTAATCAAGCTTTTTTCTTGATCCAATCCCTTTTCAAACCCAATTAGGGAACTTTAAGACCAGGGAAAACTGTGTGATTGATTGTGATTGATTAAATAATTGAATTGTTTAACAGCACTAATAGAAACGTTTCCATAGTGCGGCGTAGCATCCTGGAAAACAAGAGATATTTAGTAATTTTACTAATTTGGTGAAATTCGTTCAAGAAAGATAATGCAATGAATATAATGATAATAATATAAATGTGTAAGTGTGTATGTAGGGGTGACAGTGGCTCAGTTGGTACAGCATTGGCCTTTAAGCCTGAAGTTTGTTGGGTTTGAGACCACAACACTGATGTCTGCTGTTGTTTTGTCCTTTGGCAAGACACTTAACCCCACTTTGCCTGAAGCTCCAGCGTCAGTCCGCGTCTCCCTTGTGTCTCCTTCCGAAGCGCAACTAAACTTGCTAAACTAAAGCTGGGCTACCTACATTATCCCGTTGCATGTTGGTTATGCCCAAAAGTAAAAGGTTGTGAACAAATCAAACATGTCCCATTCTCGTCCCTGTGACAAACAATAGTTGTGGTCCTTCTCCCTCACTCTGTAGTGACATGTGTATTACTCTCACTGTAAGAAAATGGAGGGTTGGATGTAATTAAGAAATGTTTATATATAGCGCAATTCACAGATCAAGGTCACACAAAGCGCTTTACAACTGGTATAACTAATCATGTTTAAAGCAGTATATGTGTGGAATGAATGACTTTTGTCCAGGTACGAACTCTCCTCTCACATGTATTCTGTCTTGTGTTTGTTCCAGGAGGAGGTGTGTCCAAGGGGAGCAGACGAGCCGGTGCAGAGGTGCCTGTGGTCGTCTGCGGTAAACGTTCGAGACAAGTTCATCTATGCCACCCAGCCCACCCTGGACCGCGTGCTCATCGTGGACATACACACGCAGAAGGCCGTGCAGGTGTGAAAACCATCCGACACTGCTCTTTAAGTGCAAATCCCAGCACTTTTGAAAAACACACAACCTATATAGTACCTTTTTGGACAATCAAAGACGCTTTAAAAAGGGGCAGATTAATAAGAAACATGATTGGTGGAAGTGAAGGCAGTTTTTGAACAGGTGGGTTTTGGGGAGTGATCTGGAGTTCTTACACTCATAGTCACTGATGTGTTGTGGGAGAGAGTTTTAGAGAGTGTGGGCTGCTGCAGCGAAGGTTCGGACCTTAGAGTTCAGAATGTTCGGACCTCAGGGTTTGAAGGCTCAGTCCTCTGAGTTCCTGTTCTTGTGACAGTGCTGATGGAGGAGGTTGGTGAGATATGACAGGGTTCAGTTATGAATGGATTTGTAGGTGATGAGCACATAATATTGTACACGGGATGGGACTGGAAGCTAGTAGAGTTATTTGAGGATGGGGCGATGTGGTCTCTGGAGCGAGCTTGTGAGCTTGGAAAGGGAGCATTTAGACATAAGCGGTGGGGGTAATGTCTTCCTCAAATATATTATTCAAAACTGACAGGACCTGTTCATACCTTCATTCTCTCTATTTTAAACTAAACTAAACTGCTCTGAGAATGTGGACGATCTGTGACAGAGATGCAGTTTTTGTTTTTACTGCTGTTTAACTCATTCAGTATCTCCAGATGAGTAACTCAATATAATCTAACTGTAGCTCCTCAATGACAACGCTGCACACGGATTCTCAAGTACTGGCTCATTTATTGACCTTACAAGTGTCATAAATGTCTTTCAATTCCGTGAAAACTACAGGACAAAGGAAAGGATCCAATTAAATACAACTTCTTGTTTACTTTACAAAAACGAAACTAAAAATTAGCTACCTTGTGGCCGCCTGTCATGTCGGAGGTCTTTAGCTTAACTTGAAAGCAATATGTGCGTTTCAGCTGTACACAACATATAATACAATTAAAAACACAAACGAAAACACACAATTAAATCGTACATGTACAAAATAGATACCTGCTACAGTTGCTTTCTCACTGAAAGTGGCTCTCGCTCTGATGCCTTTGAGCACGAGAGAGCGTCTGCCTGTCTACCTGAGGGCCCCTTGTAAACCCCAGTTCTCGCAGATTCTCGCGATAACAAAATTACGAAATAAAACCAATGTATAAAGGTGTAATAACAAAGACTTACTTTTGGAGAAAACAAAAAATATTACTATTTACTAATTTACAAAACTATTCTAAACCAAATAAATAGAAAAGCAAAATTAACTTTTATAAGAAACCTATATAACAACACTTACACTAACCCTGCTACATTTTAAAAACAATAATGTTATAGTACAAATATATTTTTTTTATTCCAGTTAGAATTTCAGAGTAACTTACCCTACACTCACTGTGGCAGTTATAAATCATAAAGCAACGACAACAGACAGTGGGAGCAGGTGGAGAAGGTCTTGTGGTGAGCTTGAACCCGAAGGCCATTTCCCTACCAACTGAGCCACTGAGCCCCGACCATACAATATACTATGCCATATTTTACTTTTTCATCATTACATCTCATACACACAATATATATCTGGACTTTTAAGGAAAACTCATTCTAACATTGTCCTTTTACTGATACTCTAATATCATCAATACCAAAAATGTGTATACAATTCTGTATGACTTTTACTCCTGAATGCAATTATTGAAGAGTTTGATTTATGTGCAGAAGCTGCAACTAATATGTTCCCTGTTGCTGAAAAATATGAATCTGTGAATCCTATGTGGTCCTAAAATAAACACTTTTGTTTTATTTGGAAGTCAAGCAATCTTTAAAAAAATCCTCTGTTTTACACTGACACAAAATAATGGATCAATATTTCATGAACATAAAGAAAAATCTGTGGACCTTTTATCAAATGAATTTCTGTCTCTGACGAAGTCGGTTTGGAAATGCACTGGCGTCTTCTGATCACTCATTCACTTAAGTGAGCTGAACCTGTACTCATTTTATTGAAAACCCATTGTCCAACAGGCTTTGTCCAATGGTACGGAGAAAATAGTACATTAAGGTGCATTTATTTAATACCTTCCATTGTTGTTTTTTTTTTTTTTTTTCTTACCATATTGCTTCCAATGCAGTCTGCAGTTTGCATTTAAATGATAAAACATTTGGTTGTCTGGCCCGGGGATGAACAATTGAAAACATTATATTTGTTGTGCATCCAGGCAGAGAGTTTGGAGAAAACAAAATGTTTTGGAGATTGAAGGATTTCATTCAGTTGTATTGTTAAAGTGTATTGTACTTTAACATCTGCTGTATGACAGCCTGGAGTCTTTTGTGGTTTTTGTGGATGAGGTTCTCTACAGGTCTATGGAGAACTGTAGTTGACCGTACAAGCCAGAGAAGTGCTTTACACTGTACAGCAGCAACATTCAGAGGAGTTTTTCCGCACGGTCTCTGTGTCAGACACGAGACTTGAACAAAAAAATGCCTATTGACTGTGTCACCTGTCTGAGTTATTGAGTTGGATTTTCTAAAACACCTACAATGGCTGAACCGAAAACCCCCAAAGTGCCCGTTTTACGTTTGCCACTCGCCCCTTTGTGGGAAAGAGAAAATCAGATGAAGAAAAGGCGTTGTATAAGAAAACTTTGGACGCAGCCAGGGCTATGTAATGCAACGGCAGTCGAGTTTTGCTAGCTGCCAGTTTGTTAGGGGAAGCAAGCACTTGTCAAGTATACAGCAAGTTCTACGTGAGCCCTAATTCAGTGTAATGTTTTCACATTTGAAGCTGAGAGGCTCCGTCACAGACTGCATTATTGTTTTGTGGAGGGGAAGGGAGTGGTCTTGACTCTGAATCCTGAATCCTTTATTGTACCTTTAACTATGACATTAATGTGATTAATTTTTAATTAATTTATATTATAATATATATATTACAATATTTTAATTGTTTGACAGCACCGTTTAAATCCTTCCTGTTAGCACAATAATGGTTACACACACCAAATAATAAAAAGTGTGGCTTATTTCCTTCAAACTTTGTTGTCCTCATGTAACACAGTTGATTCCCTACAATGTCTTTATGAAGACAAAGCAATAACACCACGTCATGTCACAGAATAACCTCGGCAACCTGGCAACAGCTCACATCTGCTCTTTTCCACCCGGAGAATCCCGGGAGACAATACTGACAAACAACTGCAACTTGTTCTATTAGCGGCTACCAATTACATGACGCCTTCCTCCTATATGTGCCATTCTAATTTTGTTTTTCCATACACAACACTGTTTGATGAGGATTAGACAAAATGAGGAGCCCTGAAACTCGGTCAGAGATGGATGACCACTAAAATCAATAACTGAAATACATTTAAAACAAGATATTAAAAATCTAGTGAAACATTTGTGCAATGCCAAGTCGCTGTAAACAAAGGGACGTGGATTCAGGAGCTTAGGTAGTAACGGCTGCTTTGCTGCTTAAAGAGTTTACAATGTTTTTAAACAAATGATCAATAATCACATCTTCTGAGCCCAATTGTACCGGTGTTGTCTCCAGGCCTCTCGAGGGAGCTACCTCCATGGTTCTGTTTGGCACCCCACCAATTCCTCACAATTGTTTGTGAAGAGTCTCTCTGCTCTCATCACTTCCTCTGCTCTAGTCAAGTGCTTCCCAAACTGGGGGCCTCAGAGCTAGTGCACGTGCTTGCAGAGTAAGGCTAGTTGTGTGAGTCAATACAACTAGCAGAAGAAAGGTGTAATATTTTAGATGTGGTTAAAACTGCTTATTGTTTATCGCACACCACTACAGCATTCTGTGCAGCCCTGATATTTATTCAAGTACAAGAATAAATAACTGTCTATCAAAAGTATCTTCAGACGCGTGTGATATTACAGGTCACATGCGCAAATAAATCCATTCTAAGCTTTAAATGAGAATCATTTTAAGATGGACAGTTCAGTATATTGATTTGTTTTCTCTCTGCAAATGTAAGCAGCCATACAGTAAGTTCTGAGACACACATACTTCTTGGATCTTTCAGTCTTGCATGCATTTCCCAAGGCCATCTCTGAACATTTTATTCCACTTGTAAATCACACTCTAAAATCAAGGAGATGAAACCAGGGACCAAAACCACAGAGATATGTTTTCCTTCCCAAGCAAACACACTTTTAACATCTACCTACAAACTCCCACAAACTCTTTTGATCAAATGTCAGGAGAATGAAGTGGATTTGAGTTACTTCACACTCAACAGCTTGCGTTTCCTTTTGCTTAAGCACACACATGAAACACACTCTCTAAACGTGACAGATGCGATCAACTTGTTCAAACGTATTGGCTGCGGATCTCACTAATCTTCCCCCGAATCACAGAAGTTAAACAAAAGCACAACAGTAGCACCTGTTCTCTCCGATGACTCGAAGCAAGACGATTAGTTAGCATTCGCGACTCGCCTCTCGTATTTGCTCCAAACCCCAATGGAACTGCTGCTTTTGTTGCCACTGTATTTGGGTAAACATTGCTATTACACTTTCAAAAGGCTATAGAAACAAGACAAAGTCCACTGGGGATTTGTGGGATGTTATACGAAAATGATTGTTCTTTGTAGAGGTCTCAGATGGCTTTTCTGTCCCCCCAGAGTGCCTTTTGTTTGGGTACTCAGCTAGACGTAATGCATATTGGAATTGGTAACTCTGGCGTGTCAAAGGAACGGGTAAAGACTTGAAGGCAATTACAGCAGTGTGGTAAAGCAATTGTGTCTGTCACCATTTGATTTTAAATTCAACCCTAAAAAGGTGTGGGGAAAAAAAAGGCTAGATCAAAAAGGCAGCCTTGTTAGGAGCAGACGCAGACCTGTCAAAGGTGTTCAAGGCATTGGAAGCAGACATCAAAGTGGAATGTGTTCAAAAGAGACATTTAGATGGGGAGATGCAGGATTGGGTGGTCTAAAAAGGGTGATTTAAGCTCTTGGTGTCTTCTGTTTCAGACTGTCAGCACCGACCCTTATCCTGTCAAACTGCACTATGACAAGTCACATGACCAAGTTTGGGTGCTGAGCTGGGGCGACATGGAGCGCAACTTCCCCACTCTGCAGGTAAGGAGCGTCCCAGGGGAACACAATCTTCATGTACATGTAACTACACAACATACACCTCTCTGAGGATGTAACAGGCTGAGTATCTTTTCAAGTTGGCATTATGAGATATATACCTCAATAGGCCACGATATTACACATGCTAGAATAAGAGTTAAAACTCAACCTAAGAAAAATATGTACAGGCATTTAATGTATAGTGCACTTCTTGTTCTTAATTCAGTTCAATGCAATTCAATTTATTTTTGTATTTAAAAAATCTTAATCACAACACTAGTTATTTCAGACGACTTTACAAAGCTGTCGATTCGCCAACACAGATCAGAGAATCAAACAGTTCAAACTTGGGACATGCAATGATAAAAAATACATAGAGGGCAGATGACCAATGTCCATAAATGTTGATAAAGTCCATAAATGTAATCGAATGTTGAATGTCCTGGATCATCACCACTGTCCTTAGACCCTCCTACATAAGTCTTAAACTATTAGAATCTTGTTAGTACAGTGATGAGATTGAATGGAATTTATGCTGGAGCATTTAACTTTTAAACCACAACAATGGAACTGTGATAAAATCCATGTCACTAGTTCAGGGGGTCGACCACTGAAAAGGTTAAAAAAAAAGTTCAAATAGTTGACAATAAAAAACTCTGTCTGGAGCCTCAAAAACAGCCTTGTATAAGGATTATATGAAGGCAACACAGGCTTTAAGCTGTATTAGCTATATTTGCCTACTATTTATATTACTAAGTAAGAGGCCTTACCTAGAACCTCAGGTTTCCGGCCCCCGCACTGATTTTTTGGACAGAAAAAAAAAAAGACAGGATCTCTGACGCGCAGCTCTATGCACCAAAGCATCAACTAGTGACCCACAAGCCTCTTTTGCCACAGTACCTGGAGCCCACCTCCAGAGATTGGTGCTTGGCTATGGAGCATGTTTTGGGTGGTGGGAGAAACCGGAGCGTCCAGAAGAAACCCACCCATTAACAGAGAGCCCCATGAGAACTGCAAACAGAAAGGGCCATGCCGACACCTACTGTGAGGCAACGTGGTAGCCACCCAGCCACATGCCGCCATGATATGAGCATAATATACATACTTCTACCTTCCCCTTATGTGGAATGTGGAATACCAAATGATAGAAAGAGACAATATCTAAAATAGAAAAAGAAAATAGAAAATGTTCGGTGGATTGTGTTCAAATTCTGTCTCGTCACATTATCAGATTTGTATCTAATCCCATCTTTACAAACATACTTTGACATCTCGACTTTTACTCCTTTGGGAAATTAGGAATTCTTCTCTTTAACCCAGGATTCACAATATTCACTTTGTGTGTGTGTGTGTGTGGGTGGGTGTTCGGGTGTATGTGTAGTTGCGAATGCAGCAAGCTAAACTTAGTGGCCCAAAAACACAAACTCCAGGATACTGTTTGGAAATGGCTATAAGAAAAGTAGATACAGTAATGGTTGAAGTCGCAGCGCTATGTGAGCTAATTGTAATGTGAGACAGCGTTCCCAGATAACCTCCAAACCTGAGCGCGATCCATTTTCTTTTGTTTATTTTAGATCAATAGTTTGTCTTCTCACACTGACACTGGGTCTAACTAATTCATACAGAAGCATGTATTCCTCCCCCTTTCCAATACAATATGAATGATGACACTCGCTGGGGGACTGCGCGCTTTAATTGCTGATTCCTTTGTTTTGCTTTACTAAACGACAATTATTAATGGCACCTTAACCATGCTGATGTATTTTCAATGATTTTGATTGGCTGATGAAAGCTCTGTGTCTCTTTGAATTATTCTCGGATAATACAAAATGAAACGTGTAGAAAATTCTTTTACAGTTTTGATACAAGGAACTAAACTTATCTATACAGAGAGGATCAAAGTAGATACTGTATTTACTTGAAAAAGTTATAGGCTAGTTTTTGCTTGCTATCGACTGAGAATCTCTGACACCGGTGGATCATTCTTATCTATTCTGAACTTCAAATTGCAATAAAACACATTGACAACTGCAGTGGTGATTTCAGAGTTCCCATCATGGTATGTCACCAGTCAAAGAGTGATGCAAATTCTTTAAGTAATATGGATTATCAAAGGCTGAAAGTTATGACACTCTGCACTCCACAATTGTTGCAGCATGTGTCATCACTCACTACCATAATGCTTTGCGCCTTGGGGGGTTGCCGCGGGTAAGAAGCTGTAGAAGATAAACTCATCACCGCAGAAGTTTGGATCGTGAGTAAAGCCACATCCAAAAAATTGGGAAAAAAAGATTCCGTATTGCAGATGGCTTCTCTGATGGAAAAAGACACTTGCCTGACGAAACCACCACGGCCGAAATGTTGCCGATTTAAGGAAAACAGTCTATGCAAGTCCAGTGTGTGAGAGATTTCTAAAGTTTTGCCAGTCTGTGCCCTGGCCTCTTCATCCGCACCTGTCACAGTCAAATATGCAATGTTTTCCACCATTTTCAACTTAGTGCAAAAACTAACTCAAAAACCAATTCTAAGAAAGAACTCACGTCAAGTCCAAAGATCCACAACAACAATTAATCTAAAATATACAGACATGAGCTCGCTGCCCTCTGATGCCTCCTTTTCTGTTTGCCCTTTCAAGTCAAGGGTCTGCACTCATTGGAACATCCCCAAAGTTAATGAATAAAACAACTCGCACACTGTACTTGTACACAGCAGTGTTTATGATTTACAGATCTGCAACGTTTCAGCCGTGGGCCTTCGTCAGGCAAATGTTGTTTTTCTCCATTATGAGAAGCCATGCTAAATAAAGTGTGGCTACAGCATCACAAGTGTCAGGCCATAACAGGACAAGAGAAAAAAATGTATTTACCTGAGAATAAATACATGAAGTACATTAGTGTACAAATCGCTTTGTCAAACTGCGGACATAAACTTATACACATCCTCGAAGTTAGCCATTAGCTGCTAGCCCTAAAAGGGTTATTTTGATGACATATTAGCATGATTCTCTTTCCAGTGGGGAAATTTCAATGTTGCAACACACAGACAGAACAGTAGGAAGAGCACACAGGGAGCACACAAAATATACAAAATATTCTCTGGGTGGATAGCTCTCTCGCTTCTCAGCAAGAAGGTCCTGGGTTCGGATCCCGGTCGGAGCAGGGTCTTTCTAAGTGGAGTTTGTATGTTCTCCCAATGCCTGCTTCGGTTTCCCCTACCACTAAAAACATTCACACTAGGTATAATCCTCCAGTTCTGGTAGTCCTGTCACCAGGTGTTGATGCTTCGGCTTGAAGCATCAACACCATGTATAACGTTTATGTTAATGTATAACGTATTTTCATAATAAGCTCGTAATCATCATCACTGTCTAAATTATATGGTCACATTTTGTTACTTGCTTTGTGGATATCTCCTTGAGACAAGAATTAACATCAACTAAATTCAATGTATTCTTGTATAGTGCTAAATCACAACAGTTGTTATCTCAGAGTACTTTACAAAACCGTTGAATTCGCCAACACAGATTAGAGAATCAAACAGTTCAAATAAAATAAATGCAATGATAAAAAATCAAACAAAAAATGATTAAACACATTAGGCAGTTGACCAATGTCCATAAATATTGATAAATCTCCATAAATGTTGTTTAATGTGGAGTGTGCTGGATCCCCTCACTGTAGACCCAGACAAGGGTCCTGCATCAACACTGCTGCTGTAGTCTTTGTGTTCTTGTTCTGTATTGTTTTTATTGTAATAAGATTGAGTTTGGGGATGGGAGTACTCATAACTTATAACATAAGAGGGCTCATAACTTCAGCCCTCTCCTTTTGAACAGAATTAATATTTAATTAAAGTTGTGTTCCGCACACAGTCTTCATGAGTGTGATAGATGGTGTGTGTGTAATCACATGTTTAACGGCTCTCTTACAAATGCCTGTTTACTCTTATCCCCACCTCATTAGTCATATTTCCTGCTGGCGCTCATTTAAATATTGCCGCTGCATTACATTATCATTGCTCCTCGGACATAAATATGCTGCTGCAGTTTAGCGCCTGCGTATGGTCACGGTGAAGGAGCTGCCTACACGGCGCTCAGGCCTCATTATTCCCACAGATGCGGTGGCGGCAGCGTCCACTGCCTCCCACAGAGACAGCCTCACGCTGACACAACAGCTCTATCCGGTTTGCACAATTTTCTGCATAGATAAGTCAAATGCAGACAAATATGAATGTGCTTTTGCAACAGTGCATCCGCCCCGTTGGAATAATGAGAGTTTAGCAAGTATAATGTAATTCCCTTTTACGTGTCATACAAATTGCTTATTTGTTACGCATCTTGTCTAGTGAATAATTATGGTTAAAACATTAGTGAAATTTATACAAAAATGGAACACAGATATAGCTCATTAAACAAAAGCAGCACATTCTCAACTTTGTGTTTTTTTTATTCGGCAGTTGCAAAAAGTACTTTAGAGATGGTTATCGAAGTTTCTGTTTTGTGCTACATGTTACCAATGTTGGTATATGACAAACTGTATAAAGTGTCTTCTTAGCGCATAGTGTCATAGTTGTAATAAAGGTTAGGGCAGGAGAAGTCTCAACTTCAGCCTAAACCCTTTTCGGTCACGCATTATTTAGAACTGAAACTCTTTATATACACAATTCAGTTTTTTGTTTGTTTTCTTTTTCAACTTCATTCAGTGATTGCACATATTCTATTATAACAAAGACTGAACACATTAAATTCAACATAATTTTTAGAGCACTGTTGGCCAAAGAGTTGTCCAGGACACTCAACATTCAACAGCATTTATGGACTTTATGAACATTTATGGACATGGTCATCCGTCCTTTATGGACCAATGGCTCTGTGTGTTTTCTATAAATTCTTGTGTTTGATTTTCTGATCTGTGTTGGCTAATTCACCAGTTAATCCTCTGAGATAACTACTGTGGTGATGTAGCACTATAAACTTAAGTAACAAAAGAATATTGGAAACTGCCCCTCGTAGTCGAAATATTTACTCTTTTTAAAATATATGGTTTAACTGGGCAGGTGGAAATGCTCTGAATAGAGATGGAAAATCTCCTAGTACGGACAAAGTGGCCTTTGTCCCTGTTACAGTTTGTATCAGTTTGTCTTGTTTGCGTCTGCACAGGTAATCACCCAGGCCAGCGGGCGCGTGGCCCACCACACTCTGCACACTCAGCCCATCGGGAGACGCTTTGATCGGGTAGACGACTTCTTCATCCCCCCCTCCAGCCTCATCATCAACCACGTCAGGTATGAGTCAATCATTTCCTTTAGTGCAGGGCTCTCACACTCAATATACATGATGCATGAGATGGTATATTCTCGTGTTTGTGTGTGAGCTAAATACATATGAACATCAGAGCAAATGGATAGAATCTCCTGGATAAACATAATAGACACATTTGAAACTGTTCCATGTTCTCATTCTTTAGAACTGGTGATACCGGTGTAAATGTTAAAGCGCGCTGCAGGTTTGTGTTAAACGTGGGTTAGCATGCATCGTAATGTAGTGCTCTCAGTACTGTGGAAAACTGTGGCTCCGTCTCACAATGCTTATGGTAAAATAAATGACGTGATTGTTTTCTTGATAAAATTAGCTTTGAAACTGTGTAGAACAGGCCATTGGCACCGACTCTCAGTGGGGGCCACACTGACATTAAAGTTTGATGTTCACTATAGGGGGCCACAAAGTGTATTGAAGTGTATTAACATGTATGTGCAGACACTGTGAGGCTACAGTGCACAACCAAAAACTTTTAATGAGCTCTAAGTATGGACCAAAGTGAATACAGTTTAGTCTTTTGCAGCCATTACAAACTTGTATGCTGATTTTTGAATGCCAAGAACTCATTGCTCTAAATGATGCGACCTTTGCTCCCTAATGGAGGGTATTCTGAATAGCTGGCTGAGATAATTACATTTGCAGCGTTGTAAGGGAAGTGCTCTGACTGTGAATTCCCTTAAGAACTTTTAATGCCAAATGGGCTTTAATATGTATAACGGTGACATTTCTCTTTGAGAACAGTGGAGCCCGCTGGAAAGCAATTTCCCTGTAGAATTTCTATTTGTTTTGGATTTGTTTTTTTCCAGTCAAATTAAGAAGATAACGCTGGCGCAAATGGCAACTATTTTGAATAAATGGGTTTTTGTAATACAGACTATTGGAATTATTGGAAATGTTTGGAATATGTTTAATACAAATGTATTCATAAATATTGTATTTGAATACAAACAGTTTGAAAAAATGTGTCGAATCTGGCCTTCACAAAAACGCATGACGTAATATTCAAGTGATCCGACCTTTGAGGTCACGGCAACTTCAATCATGTCTATTTGTTTGGACTAGCAAACACCTGTTGATTGATGTCTTTGCTGTGACGCATATTGTCTTCTAAAAGGTTTGCTCTGTCTTCATTCTGAAACAACTGGAAAATTATTAACAGACAACAGGCATTTTTTACCTCATAATTTTGTCTAAGTTTTTTGACAAATGGATAAAAATGCAATCATATTACTGTAAATTATTAAGTACCTAAACTATTATAAAAAATGACATGTGGCTGAACGCATTTTTCTTTTTCAACCACACCAAGCACTTCCTCACTTTGAACAAGATAAAGACTTGTTGTTTCACTAATAATGGATGGTCTCCATCCATTATTAGTGAACTAAATACTAAATACTGCTGACATGTTCACATATGTTGTACCATTACTTGCAGCATGGCCATATCTGTTTTAGAAGTTCCATTCCTTTCTAAATTTCCTGCTGACGTAGGAGACTGAAACACTTGGGCAAATAAAGCGGTCAGTCAGATGCACTCTGGCCCAGGGGGGATGTTCCAGGCCTCAAACAAAGTGGCCTGGTGTCTCGAGACGGTGGGTGGGATAGCATCACTAGCATCGCACAGCTGTAATTAGCTCCACAGAGACAGTCCCTGCTCCCATGTTGTGTTGGGAAATTGCTGTGTTTACCATGACGGTCTTGAGCAGCTTTAGCAGACTTGACAGGCTGTTTGATTACACAAAGCCCTGATCACGCCTCTGCCCTGGAAACTCTGGTCGTCAGGATCAATGGCCGCATGAGCGTTCTGTCTGCGCTTACAAACGATTGCGTGTCAGATCCCCGGAGGCGGAAAGGCGCTGATGGTTGATTCTCATTCTTGTCAAATGGTCGACCAACGCTGTGCTTGAACTGTGAGTGAGCATTAGGCTGGCATCCACAGGCAACATGCAAGGTAATCAAAAGACGTGTAGCATAAAGGGAAGGCGGCGGGGTGTTGTAAAGAGTCTGGAGGCGGAGTTCTAACACAGAATAAGTTGCTTCACCACCAGAATGAAACAAGAAACCTGTTGTGAGCTGTTTGATTCCAGTCTGGTCAAAGCGGCTTCTCTCTGAGACATGTTGAACCAATGTTTCCATATGAACTAACTCGGACTGTGAGGAGCACAAGGACTGGCCTCATGCTGGTGCCCAGAGTCAAGACTTCCTGAAAATGTGAGACAGGCTTTATCAAATCAATCATCAAATCCAAGTTAAAAACGCTTTTGTATAGATGTGCAGACAGAGGGATTTCATATTCACTCTTTTTAATATACTGTGATCATTAATTATTTTAGTCCTTTTGTGATTGTTCCTATCTTGTCTTGTTAAGCACTTTGAGTTGCTTTGTATCTGAACTGTGCAACACAAATAAACTTGTCTTTGTCTTTGGAAAAGCCTAACACTGTGGATGACATCAGCTCTCAGTTTGTTCACTGCTTCTATAACGTATTGTTTGGAGACCTATTTTGAACCTGGTTTTCCTGAATCTGTCCTGCTATAGCGGTACCTTGTTTCAATTTCATCGTTATTTAGGCTGGATCTGTTCTCATTTGCTAAATAGTCTAAAAAGATCAGATGAAAATCAATCCTTGGAAATTCTGGAATTCTACTTCAACCGAAACCCTGTTCTGAAGTGTAAAACATGCCTTAGAGACTGAACAAAACAGTATATTTGTCGATTTAGCAACATGTGCCGTGGCCAAAGCCTGCGTAGAGTCAGCAGCTTGTGTGGCTGGTGTAACGACAGGGGATTCCCAGTGCGCTGTGGGCCACTCTCAATAGCCTATCATTTATTTAAACATCGACTTACAGTCTGCTAACTCTGAGCGTCAGCAAAAAGCCAGCCATTCCTCTTTTCATACTCAACAATACTGTGCCCTGCAGTGCTGGCTGTCCTCACCTATTCTTCACGAAATTCTAATCACTGCACAGAAAGCCTTTTGGCAAAACAAGAGATGAAGGAAAAGTGCTGTGCTGTCAATATGTTTTAATGAAGCTTTTTCGTTCACTTTATGGGCCGGTTTCTTGTGTGAGAGTTACAAAGCATTAAGAAAGTCTGTCTTAGAATCTGACCCTAGATATTTTATTGTATGCCATAGAGATGCTGATACTAGTTTCTATTATTGTACTGCTCCAGGATAAGTGGGATTTTCAATTAAAGTGGACATATCGTGTTTTCAAATAATTGATTTTTACATCTAAATCATTAATTTGTGGCCTATATAAAGCGTAACTGCAATGCCTGGGTCTGAGTCTCATTATTTGTAGCTCCACGGGCCTTTCTTCTACACCTGTTCTGAGGTGCGTCTGAGAGCAACCTGTTTTGGTGCTGTCTCTTTAAATGCAAATGAGGCGCTTTTGACCACCCCCCCATCCAGGTGACACAGGTTCAACTCCACCCCGAGCGGCCATTTTTGTAGTTTCTAAGCACAGATACAATTATCTCATAGAAACTTCTCATTACATCGCAAACATGTAATGTTTGCGATGTAATGAGTTTATTTATATAGCACAATTCATACACAAGGCAATTCAAAGTGCTGAACAAAATAAGAAAGCATTAAAATCATAAATAATCACAGAACATTAAAAAGAAAGATAACAATATAAAATCCCTCAGTTGTATGTACAGCTAAACAGAACTGTCTTTAACCTGGTTTTCAACATTGTCAGAGAGGAGGCCTGTCTCACATCTTCAGGAAGACTGTCCCAGATTTTAGCAGCATGAATCTGAAAAGCAGCCTCCCCATGTTTAGTTCTGACTCTGGGCACTAACAGGAGTCCAGTCCCTGTGCTCCTCAGAGTCCCAGCAGGAGTCCAGTCCCTGTGCTCCTCAGAGTCCCAGCAGGAGTCCAGTCCCTGTGCTCCTCAGAGTCCCAGCAGGAGTCCAGTCCCTGTGCTCCTCAGAGTCCAGGCTGGTTCGTATGGTACTAACATGTCACTAATATATTTTGGAGCGAGGCCATGGAGAGACTTGTACACAAGGAGAGCTCACATGCCGGTTTGTTTACAACAGCGGCCGCCTGGCGCGGGCCTACATCACAGGATAAGACGCACTACGTTGACAGAAATGTTTAAATTGAATATTACTTATGCACAATTTTACAGCATTTAATAACGTTAATAACGTTTTTCCTTCTACAGAAGGAAAAAGACGCATGCACCTCCGGAGCCGCAGGTTGCCGACTCCTCGTTTATACAGTATGTGGAAGCAAATACTGTAGAGGATCAGGATATGTGCAGTTTCAACAATAAAATAAAATGCAATAGTCTACATTACAAGAGGGTAATGAACATATCTCAGAGTGAGGGAGGTGGACACAGACAACACTGTTGTTTGTTACAGGGATGAGAATTGGTCAAAAAAGACTGAAATGCATATTGTCAGCCATTTGCTGGCTCTAAATCTGTTTAATTTGTTCACAACATATTACTTTTGGGCTCAAACATGAACTTTTAATGCAATGCAAAATGTAGGTATCAGAGCTTTATTTAGGGTGTTTAATCGCGCTTCGAGGGGAGAGGGGAGACGCGGACTGTTTCCTGCATTAGTGTATTTATTGGGTGCACAGATTACTCAAAGATACGCATGGTCCTGTGCGCGTTTATGGGGTTGGGTACATGGCGTTGGGTACACGTTGAGGCTGCGCGCTCAGCCACAACACGGTGGAGCGGCTGCGAGCGGCTGGACGCTCACAGCCTCTCGCAGCCGCATTACAAAGCGGCCGCAGATGCCCCGGAACACTGCGGCCGCTGAGGTGGCAGAATCCCGTTCGAGTACATACAGCAGGTGCCCCGCGGATACGCGCGCCCCGCTCAAAAAATTCTCAACGGATTTACACTTCTCATAAACATGTGTTTTGTATGAGGCAGACAGACCGGCCCAAAAATGGGCATTGGCCCTTTGGGCATTGCCCGGTACGCCC